TTAGCTTAACCAAATTGACGTCGTGCATACACACATATCTGCAATGTTGATTTGTCATGCAGCTCAGAGATTTAATTGTCACAATGATTTTACTCTTATGGTGGTTCACTGAGGAATGCCAAACTTGTTTAGGAAAGATCGAGTGAAAAGATGATTTTCTTTAATAAATTAAATTAGTTCATCTTCATATAGGGTCGAGATGATGGATGAAATAAATGTGCGTATATGTATATACTGTATATATTTTGTTTCATTAGAAACGGAAAGTTAAGCGAGGAACTGCAAAAAAACATCCTCCTTACATGAGTGACAGACGAAAGGATGATGTCGGGAATCGATTATTCCCTTTTTGTGAGATTCTTGTTTGGCACGCATTAACGCATTGATCTAGGTGTCTGATGCGACAAATCCATCAGCCCACGTGATATCGCAAATTCGTACGACCCGAAAGTGATGAAAAGAAACACCAATTCGAACGTGTGGATCACGAGACTTGATAAAATCATTCATTCCGAGCAAAGAAATCTCACATGTGTTTGAAAAGGAAGAAGATGACTTGGAAGTTGGATTACACACGTTCTGGGTGGCTTGTTTCCCCTGGAATTATTTGCAATCATTGATATATATATAGATATATACAGTATATTAAAAAAAAAGAAAGGAACGAATAGTCGTAAACAGGAAAACACGCGATCGAGATGGTAATATAGAAGTTACGATTGATGATGTGAAGTATGCAAATTCCATGATAGATCGCTGTGCGCATGTAACATGTAATGTGTCGATCATCTAAAATAAACACGTAAAGATCTTTTGGTCCTGACCTTTTGCACTCACGAGTAGCATGCATCTTTATTATTATCATGAATCCAGATAAAAAAGGGGGATAGAGGTCGCGGCAAAGTAATAATAATATATGTATATGTATATATTGAATATCGTAATGGGTATAAAGTAGAAGAAGAGGGGCAGAGCTCGCGGTAAGGGTAAGGAAGACGACGGTGGAAAGTTGAACCAGTGAGAAAAAAAATCATGATGCTAAAGGAGACAAGGATATCTTTGTTTATTACGCAAATGCAGCAATTGAATTGATGGTCATTTATGACTAGTCTGAGGTCATTCATTTTAGGCATTGATATTCACTGAAAGGAAAGTCATGAAGACCTTGTACTTTACGGCGTGGGTTCGCATACATCAAACTTTATCCGAGGAAAGACATTTATTAAGTTCAAGTGATGTGGTTTCGTAGCGAATGGATGTAGATTGCGGAGGTCGCCGTCACATTCATACTTCAACGGAAACCACAGAGTTATTTGATACAGCTTTGAGGAAGAATCCAAAATTTTTGGATCGATATCTTGAATCCATAAAAGGCAATAAATAATATAAAGACATCTCACGTCGACTAACAGTTTTAGAATTATTTTATGCTTTATTAGGATATTTG